CAGTAGAAAAATATCAATTCAACAGCGGCCTTTTAAAGCATTCTCACTTCAATTAATTAATTAATTCCTAATTGAGTTTAAATTAAATATTGTCATGTTTTTAGTGCATGAATCTGAATTGAACAACCTGATAATGCTCACTCTGGTTATTGTTATCTGGTTGCTCACTACGTGCTCTTGCGCGCCGAATCCAATCAATTAAAAATGAAAACTGTTGCCAGCGCGAGAAAAGAAATATCATCGGTTTTATTGATACATACATACATACGTACGTATTAGCGTTTTATATAATATAGATATTATAATAATTAGATCAAATTATTAGTCCCACTGTAGTATTTTTTACCGATTGCGTGTTTTGCACGAGTTTATATGCAATGCTTTTATATTTAAGCATATATGTAATGTGTTTTTATTCAAGAGATTTTTTATATATTTCCTATTTGTATTTATTTTTAACGTATTGCATTACAAATGCTAACTAATTGCTACACGAACGTAAACAAGTGTAAAAAGTCTCGTAAGAACGATAAAGCTGTATAGAGAGTATCACCTGACCATTAAGATTTTACACAGAATCTTATAGTTCGTCTAATAATTTGGCCAGGGAACGTATATGGTTACTCGAGTACTTGCTGTCAAGAAATAAATGTTTGTGACAATAAGGATTTGACAGACTTTATAACATATTGTTTAGTAGTACAATCTGATTAAGAAAAAAAAAATATTTACTTTATTGTTAACGCGCAATAAATGTTTAACACCTTGAATGACGAGAGCGACTAAATTTAATAATCTGTGTAATTCATAATCTGGAAAANAGACTCGCCCCATACGAGAGATTTGTCAGCAGTTCTATGAAAATATACAGTAACAGCGTAATTGTTAATATTTTCCAAAATCGATTTCACAGCTTTAAAAAGGGATAAATAGCGATTCCGAAACACCTATTAAAAGCCTTTTTTCTTTAATATTTACAAAAGTTTGACCACTTGAAAGTTGACAAGCTGAAAAAATGGGTAGACTCGCCCCGGTTTACGGTATGTCCAAACTAGCAGAACTGAACCAGCATATTAGTTTAATGCATTTTTCACCTTTTTTCTTAAAGGTTCTTTTTTGTAAATATTAATGTTAAAAAAAATTTGCGTTACTACCAAATTCTTCTTAAAATGAGGCATTGCTGTGTTAAAATGAGCTGTTTTTAGCTAAGAATTATTATTCACGGTTTTATTCGTGCACTCCCGATATAAAGAATTCGCGAAATATCGTTACCGGGAAACGAAGGTCGTTTTATCGAGAGTCGACTGTTTATGGAATAGTAAAACTGTCTACTTACAAAGATATCAAATTATCAAGAGAGGTATAAAAAGCTAATTGAGTTATTTTTAAACTTTCCATACAATTTAGGTATTACGGGGAAAAAACGATATCTTATCAAAACCGCTTTTTGGAAATGCTTGCTGAAAATCCACGTTATAACGCGTCGTTCCTTTAAAGTTTCCTTCGTTACTTACAGCCATTTTGCTTAAGAGTCAAAACTTTTTTTTAATAGAAAAAAAATTTTTTTTTTTTTTTTTTTTTTTGCAAAATATCGAAAATGTAAGTGACGAAATCTGATAATATTAAATTGGCGAATCAATATTTATTATTTGCAATTATTTCAAATCGTGGTGTTTAAAATAAATGATTTAGAATTTCATAGCTGAAAAAATATGTCTATTTAATGTATTTTAAACTGTATATTTTTACGATCTTTCTAAGGTTACTTCATAAGACAAGAGTAAGAGGGAGTAACTGGTAAAAAAGAGACAATAAATTTCCGTTGCTCTTTAAAAAGAAATTAAAAGGAAAGAAAGAATTATTTCAAACTATAATTTTCCATTCAGAAACGTGTGTTATTTGTTACACCGGCCGCAAAAACAAAGTAAATAATATTATTTTTAAAAACTACATTCAGTATGATTTAAATCAACAAATGTACATTTTTAGGTACGAAATTCATACACCACAAAAGGAAAAAAATATTATAATTGCTTCGTCTACAAATATATAAATTGCAGACAGAAAATAAAGATTTAAGAAATGTTCTTAAAAATAAATTTTTGAAGTAAAAGATTTTGTTAATAACATACTGTATTTATGTATCTTTTAAAATTTTATAA